TTCGATACTATCTAAGCGGTCTTCTAGGATCCCTAGTAGCTAGCGTACTAAGACTAGATATAGCAATTATATTTCGATATTAATATATCCTAGAAAGGTAGTTATAGAGCTATAGTATTCTATATAAAGTGTGACTATATATATATAAACCTAAAGATAACCCTACTATTAACTATAATAGAACTAATTATATTCCTAAGTTAACTACTAACCCTAGCCGAGAAATAATACTAGATAATAGAATTAGAGGTCTCTTATATTATCTAGATTATATATAAGATTCGATATATAATTAAGGTAGCTCCAGAGGACTTAATACTAATCGCCTATATTAACTATATCGCGATAATTAATCTTGCTACCTCCTTAGTATCTATATTACTAGATCGATTAAACCTATATCTAGTATAAGTATCTTAGTACCTCTAATAGTTTCATCTATAAGTTTATTATAAAGTAAGTAAATTAAACTATATTATAGATACTCTCTCCTATCTATTAGTAGTAGATAAAGCCTAGCCTTATAATAATAATAACCTAGAAACCCTATACGCCGACCCTATATCTAATATAGCCAAGCCTATCAGCTTAGTATCTAACCTAGTATTACCTAGCGCGGTATCTATATAGGATATTCCTAATAAGACCTACACTTTCCTTACGTCCTATATATAGCTCTCTAATAACTTTAAACAGTATATATAAATAGCTTATAAGGAAGACCCTAAATAGAGCCTTATCCTTAGCGAGCTCTAGAGGGTAATATAGGACCCTAACCCTATTAAGCCATATCTATCCTATAAGACTAATAATAGCTTATTATACTTAATATAGGCTAATAGCAACTATTAGCTATATATTCCTAATACTATTAAAGATAAGATCTTTAAAATAATATATAGCGATAGATACCTCGGCTTCTATCGTGCCTAATAGAAGATATAAGGCTTTATTATATATAAGGGAGTAAAGAAGCTCTAGATATATATCAACTAGTGTAATAAGTATAAGAAAAACGCAGTATATCATTATAAACCATATAGGTCGCTTTAGCCAATTCTCGCGCTACCGATCCTATTTCATATACTAACAATTAACTTTATTACTAGCCTACCATATACAAAAAAGGGATTCGATACTATAGTGATCTATATATATAAGTCTATAAAGTATATCGGCTTAACGCCTAGGAAGAAAACCTAGAGTAGTAAAGAGTAGGCTATCGCAGTCCTCTATAACCTCTAAAAGGGTAACTAGGGGATCCCTATTATATAGATCTCTAACTAAGATAAGCGTTTTATTTAAGGTTTCTAGAAGGGTATATTTACTACCTTATATACTAAGCTCCTATATACAGCAGTGTATAACCTATAGGCAGATAGCTAATTAAAACGTTTAAACTAAATAAATAAGATCTAGCTATACTACTAGCAGAATATCTACTAAGAAGCAGATTAGGACGAAGGTCTTATACTAATATAAGCCTTACTAAATACCTTAGTTAATATATCTACTAGTAACTTACTATATAAGCTTATATTCGGTATTAATCTATATATACTATAGAACCTCCTCTATTAGGCTTTTATCGGATCTCCTTAAGTAAACTAATAGGACGCTAACGAATATACTAAGTATACAGCTATAATAATAAAGAAGTAATATAATAACTATTATAAGCCTATCTTTTTCTAGAAAAATAACTTAATATACTTACGCCTAATATAGGGGACTAAGCCGGGTTATATATAGCTATTATATAATATTATAAGGAAACTTACCTAGCGATATATTAAGTACTATATTATTAAACGCGTTAGACGCTTAGCGTATCGCTTATAGATACTACCAGAGCTTACTAGGGCTTACCTAATAGTATCTTTATAATATCTAGAACGTACCCCTTAAGAAGGTAATATCTCTTCAGCTAAACCTCCCTCTATATTCGACCTATACTTCCTAGAAAACATAGACTGTATAGATATAGATATAATCCTAGATATATAATATAGAGGCCGCGGACGGGGTTAATAAAAGTAGTACCTAGTCTGGTAGTCTAGAGTAGGGAATAAATACCTAAAGTAGCTAGATAAGGATAACCTAGTAGGAGTAGAAGAAAAGGTCCTAGAATACCTCTAAGATATCCTATATTATATATAGGAGTCTATAAATTAATTATATATCTAAAGCGGGTTTATTTATATTAGTATTTATATTTAATATACCTTTTATTTAATACCTATACTTTATTTATTTATTTTTATATTTCTCTTACTACTCTTTTTCCCTATATTTTATCTACTTTTCTTCTATCCTTCTATCTATATCTCTTAGTTCTTTATCGGCTACCACTATTTTATTATTTTTTTTATCTAAATCTACCCTTAATATAGCTAATTAACCTATTAACCAGCCCCTTATACCTCCCTAAATACCACAGAAGCTAATCCTAGCTTAGACCCCCCTAAGCTCGGTAAGGGGATCTTATTAAGGCCGCCTATATTAGATATAAGGATATAGACGTACCTATAGTTTCGCTATAACAGACTCTAATAGGGACGTAATAACTAATACTAATAATAAATCTAGGCTAGTTAAGGACTATAGTAGTTTACTTATAGATAATATAGCTAATAATAATAACCTAGGCTTACTTACTATAGTACTTACCTTACTAGATAGTAGCTAGACTATAGATAACCTAAAGCCTAAGCTACCTAGCGTACTAAAGACTAATATTATATAGTTCGCGACCTATACCAAATAATCCTTTATACTTATTATTTACTAGTTCTATAATAACTCTACCCTATACGCTCTATATTAGGATAGATCTAATATATCTTACCTAACTAATAGATAATATAATAGAAAGAGACTAGGCCTATTAACTAATAGGAAGATTAATATAAGAATAGTATTAATATAGGTAGTCTTCTACTTTTCTATTTATAATTACTAGGATAATACTAAATAAGAAATATATCTAGCCTTATCCTATATTCGCCTAACTAATAAAGGAGTTTTCTATTACCTATACACTATAATACTATACTAATAAAGCTTATAATTCTAAGCCGACTTCGACTAATACAGAGATATCTATACTTTATATACTCCCTTAGACCCCCTAATGATTATCTAGGCTAATAGTCTCTTATAGTTCCCTATTTATAAGGCGTTTTATATCCTTTATAGTAGTTAGAACCCTATATCCTACCTTATTAGTAGAAAGTACTATTTAAGCGTTTCGGAGTTCTATATTAGCGCTACCTTAGCCCTGCCTAAAGCTATCTAGATAAGTATAGAGGATTCCTTAACTAAGCTAGTACTCTATACTTTTAATTCTACTACCTACCTAAAGCCTAGTATAAATAGGCCGGTTAACCTAATCTATATAGCTACTATTAGCCGCAGCTAAAATAAGGTAGTATACCGATTTATTATAAATAATAATCTAACAGCGTATATATTAATCTACCAGACTAAGGTAAAGTAAGACCTAGCGTACGCCTACCTATAGGATCTCGATAGCTTCTATAAACGTATCTATAACGTAGTTAACGACTTCCCCTCTACTACCTTCCCCGATAATAAACTATATAACTAGACCTAATAGACTATTCCGGAGTTAAGCTTCGATAGCGAGGCTTTTATCTATAAAAGACTATTCCTAAATTAAGACCCCCTAATATAAGATACAGCTAAGCTTAAGCTTATCCTATAGGAAGATATATATAAGATCCTTAACTTATTCGGTAACCCTACCGCTTGTTAATAATAATACGCCCGCCGCAAAAGGGATAGAGAGGAGAGTATTACGTCCGATACGTATATCCCTTCTTAAGGATAGGTTACTATCGTAAAACCCCGCTCTAGACCGCTATAAAATATAGACCTCCGCTTCTAGATTAGCTAGATCGATAGGGCCCCTAACCTTATCGGACTAGTTATATCTTTACTATTAGCCGTCGAAGCACTATAGTAATACGTTAGTACTAATATAAATCTTACGCGTATTACTTCCCTTAACCACACTAGACTAATCGACTTCCGCGCCCGCTTTGTTAAGGGGGACCCGCGCGTGGTACGCGCGATACGGGAAGGGCTCAGAGCTTCCCTGAACGCTATTCGTGATACTACTGCTTTTACAGAGGGCCTTATGCTTATTAACCGATACATTAAAACTATGAAGGATAAGGCAATTAAGGTAGAAGTAGGGGCAATTGCTACCTTAATACGGCCTCCACCGCAGACTCCCCTCTCCACCAACCAGCTGGCAATAGATTTCTAGGCGTATCATCTCCTACTACCGAGGGCGGTAGCACACTTTCAAAGGGGGCAGTTGTGAGGGCCTGGCCCTTAGGGGATGGATGACGGATATATTATTAAGCAGCGTAGCTTATCCTACGCAGTAATTCCATAGCAATACAAGCATCTTTACCACAACCAGGCTTATTCCATAACACAGCCGATGCCGATTGTGAGAAAGATAATGTTGTGCACATAGGCTTTGTATAAAATTCCAAGTGCAAGCACAATCAGGGCCCATATCCCAGCTCGCAGGCTAAGGGTTCGAGTCGCCATTGTTAAGGTGAGGAGACGTTCCGGGTTGTTACCCACGCTTAGGTGGGACGATACACGCATTAAGGCGACAAGGCAATAAGGCAATAAGGCACCATACCAAAAATCAGGTCTACATACTTCAATTCGTTCGCCACTTTTAGTGCAAGTGGTTTTGGGTTATTCGAGGATACTCAGAAATATTGCGGTCGAGTAACTACTGGAGGGCAAAACGAGGCTTGGCGAAACTTAATAGGGGTGATTTATTAAAGGGGTCTACGTGAGTAGTTGGCAATGGCACTGGTGACTCTATTATAGTTGACTATTAATTACACTCCCTCCCGAGGATTCACTGCATAATATCAGCCAGCAATACTTGTAGCAATGCTTGTAGTTTGGGAAAGGACAATATGAGTTGAGAACCAACCATTAATCCGCTAAATATCCGCGATATCATCCTCGCGCTCGCTTCTTTGGTCGCCACAGACCTTCGCAAAGGTCTCTAGCGTGTGCTTCCAAATAAGACTCCTTGTTCCATCTTCGCGATACTGCTGCATGATTTTGCTACTCTTGTATGTCGACCCATCAGGCGCAACTCGATAGAAGCCACTGCCAATATGAGCATCAGACCCCTCAGCGGCGTCATTGCTCGTCCACGCACGCGGCGGAAACTGCGGGCTAGTCGCCACATGCAGATGTCTCTCTCCACTTTCCACCAAAGGTATTTCCCGTGACTTTACCAAAAACATCAGCGAGTCAATTGCAAATTTCCCCAAAGGATTCATGTCTCGCATGAGGCGAGTCCTTACAATCCCGGGGGAACAGTGAATAAATGAGATGTTTGGATGTGATGAGGCGAGATGCTCCATGGACATGGAGTAGTGGATTTTGAGAGAAAGATCAGCAAGCTGAAGAGCAGCTTCACTGCCTGCTCCGAGAACTGAGACAACGCGGGATAGACCCGTTCCGGGCTTTGCTGTATCTCCGGTCGTGCCTGCCTTGGTCAACTCGGGTAGGAAGTTTACTACAAACCTCATTCGGCTGTAGTAGTGAAGATTGAGCTTTTTGTCAAGTCCCTCGTCCGTTTCTATTGTAAAAAAAAAGATCAGCGGGTAGTTCTAGCCGGCGGAATCAGGTACTAGTGTATCATACCATCCCTGCCTTTGGCTGTTCCCACTCCAGGACTTAGAAACAACAAATTGATCTTGTCCTCCTTGTGTTGAATGACGCGGCATGCCTCATCCACCTCCCGTAGCAAGGAGACGTCAGATTTGATAAAATGTACCTGTCCCTCTGGGTTCGCGAGCTTAAGGTCATCGATGATCTCTGATGCTCTCGTCTGATCTCGACCGATAAGGTAGATGCGTGGGGTTTTGGTGTGACGCATAAATGCACGAACAGTTGTCTCCCCTATTCCACTTGTGCCGCCGACTAGGCATATTGAAACAAGTAAGCGCAAAGTTTTAGGTAGAACAGTCTAGTAAAGAGCGTGATAACATGATTTGTCTGCTCGGGCGTGCAAAGTACAAAGCAGGGAAGAAAAGACTTGCCGAATACGCCAACCAAACTCGGTTCATGGAGATGATTGATGTTGGAGTTGCTGCTCTGTATGGTGGAAATGGTCACCATATTGCCTGCGGTCACAGCGACCAGAATTGTAGTGGAGGTGGTTTTATAAGGTGTTCCTAAGTTGTTAACTTCTATTCATCAAAAGATAGTAACCATCACAATGAAGATGTCCTATATATAGCAGGGTAGATATAGCATCACATGATCTACTTCCAGACTCTTCTTAAATCCGACGGACTGTCATCCAAGTGCATTCCTAAAAATTGACTTTTGTTCATCAAAATAGTGACCATCACAATGAAGAAATCCTATATAGAGCAGGGCAGATATAGCATAACATGATCTAGGTTTTTCTTAAATCCGACGGGCTGTCATCCAAGTGCATTCCTAAAATCTAGCGCATCAATAAATAGATTCCGTCAGATGTAAGCCCCACATATCAAAACTAGTTCCATGAACCATTGTTCTGTTGAAAGCGAAGTCATGTGACTAGGTAAGGCTTCACTCCGGCGGCTCAACATCAGACCGACTCGGGGCATAGTTAAGGATAAGTTAGGCCGACGGCCTCACTTCATACTGCCTAAGTCATATAGAAAATCTCCCTTTTCGCAAAAGATAGGGGGAAAATCAATACACATGCTTTTCAGTTGAAACTTACTTAGAGTGTGAGTGTGAGTGTGTCCATGACTAGGGAAAACATGCTCATTGTTATACCACTCCCAAACTTCCGGCTTATGTATATATACCTCGTACCCACAATCGTAAATTAGGTTTGGAGCTAATATAATTAGATGACTGTGTATCAGCCAATCAGAAATAGGCAACGCCAGAACATATGTTGTATGTTGTATTGAACCAATTCTTACTGCATGTCAAGGAAACGCAGAAAATCTGTTTTGGAAGCCTTAAATGAGTCCTAGATTTTTGTTGATCACCAATATCACCGAAGGAATCCGATTGATGCTTACGCTACGGAATTGCTTAGCAGGGTAGAAAAACCTGATGTTCAGGCAAGGGATGAGCTTAGTATCGATTATATGACAGATTCAATCTAGAACAGACTGAGCGTTGAAGAAGGATCAAGCGAGTAGAGCAGGCAGCAGTTATTTATAGGTAAGTAAGTGTGCGATTCGCTTGCAACGCCACATTGGAAAAGAAAAATATCTGTCATCGCTTCGGCGGCACGTAAGTCAATTTCTAAAAGATAAAATCACTTACCATTCTCATTCAGGGTAATACGATGCGTTGGGTAAAAAGATTCAGAGCTGACAAGCTGAGTATTAGGATAATCTATACCTAAAGATCTACTACGGAGTGTAGGAGGCCACGGGTAGATCGCCTGCTTATGAATTGTGGTCTTGAATGGATATCAAACCCTAGGTAGTGTATATACCACTGCAGCGATAATCGGATGGTCTGATTGTTATTATGATCTTTGTGGCTAGTGTCCTAACCCTGGAGTGCCCAGGTAATGTATTCGGTAAGCGAGCTGCGCGCGCAAGCCAGCTGCGCAGCCCA